TTGTCTTTCTGCTGGATGAGACAGGCCTCTGTATCCTTCTGAGACCGGCTTCGCTTAAATAGACAAGATTTGAAAGAGCTGTCCACCAAATTGATCTAAAATGTGTCGATTTATTTTTTCGTTTTTTCTTTGGGGAGGGGGGGGGGTAAAAAAACCCCATAATTTATAGTTATTATATCATAGGAGCCTGCCGCATTCGTGTGCTTGAGTGCATATCAAAGTTTGACAGTAAACTCTCTGGAGCGGATGACCATGATATAAAGATAATGTGTACAGCAGGGACATTTAACCTTTTCAGGACTAGTCTATAACTGAAGACAGAAAACGGCTGTATTCAGCCACCAATAAATGTACAATTGTTTATTCACTTTGGACAAAACATGACTTAACATGAATACATGTAGTTGAGTATGTACTATATTTGGTTGAAGAACTATTGTGCTAGATTGTACAGGTTTAACACCTCTTGCAACACAACCAGGTTATTGAAGAGGCGGGACCCCCGAATGTAACGTCCATGTCCGATAGGTCCAAAACAAATGAGAAAATCTGTGTGAAGTGGCATTCTCAGGAACACAAGGTCGGGCCGAGCTGAGGCTCAAACCCCATAATATGTCCCACAATCTCACCAAAAAACAAACAAACGGGCCAGTAACCTAACTAATGGGCTATAGGCTACCGACCCCACCATTTGGTAGATGGGGTTGCAGTAGGAGGCCTACCATTTACAACCAATTGTATACAATTACAGTTTTTGTTCGTTTTTATTTAATGGCTTACAAAATCATGTTTATTAATTCATGACGTACACAATCATGTTTGACAAAATATGACTGATACAATTACATTTATGAAATTGTATAATGATTTACATTTATGAAATTGTATAATGATTTACACAATCAAGTTTAATAATAACTTATTACTTATATGACTGATATAATCACATAATTTATAGAATAATAAATATACTGGTTTACGCAATCAAGTTTAACAATAGCCTATTACTTTTATGGCTGATATTCCGTAATCACATTTTCAATAAAAGGCTTTGAATTAAGTAACGTATAACATTGTGGATCAAAGATGTGTAGTGGTTAAGGCACTCGCCAAATTACACAGAGATCTAAAATTCGATCAAAGATAAAAATCAGAATTGGATTTTATTTGGGTGGTTTTCTTAAATTGACCCAGTCAAGACACCAACAAACTTTCCATTTAAAGTGTGCTTAACGCTTATAACATAAGCAATCGATGTTGAATGAGGTGGAAAACGAACCCC